TTAAGCACTCGAGTAGCGTGGCAAACATGGCATGGGCAGCTGGCAGCGGTGCCCCTCAGCAGACACAATACAGCCCCTGGTGAGTTGAGTATGACACAAGGGCAAGCCAGTGCCAGCTGTGCCACAGGACGCCATGTTTAAACATCCATGCGACAGTTCTGCTAATAGGTTAATTTAATTTACTTCAAACATGAGAAGCACTGCTTTTCATGTGTTTTAATGTTCAGCTTTTAAAGCTGCACAATGTAATTTATGGCTGTCTAGCGGTTGAAGCATTGAAGTTATAATTATTTTTAAAATTGTAAATTACTATTATAATTTAGGCAAAATAGACCAAAACAGTAACTGTTTAAGAGATTGGCATTGGTACCAACATAAAAATTGTTTTGTGAACTTAGTCAAGAATGAGATATTAATTTGTGATGATTTTTATTCTAATGTAGGCCTATGTTCTAATGTTAATGCAGTTCTATAGTTAGTAAAATCATTCATTTGATTATACCTTTATATTACAAGGTAATTGCTAGAGAAACTATTTCAGAGAAAAAATAAATATCAAAATGATGACGTCATTGGAGTTAAAGTGATTTGATTAGAGTTCAAATGCATAAACAGCCCTGTATTTCACAGGTGTCTGTTGAGGGAACGTGACTCATATTCAGAAATCTTACTGAACCGCAGCTTGTCAAAAATGATGCATGAGGCAGTTAAATTTAAAAGGGAGATGGCACAATGGGTTACAGATGGATAGCTGTGAAGATACGATTTAAAAAAGTACAGAATACCTTTGATGAACCTTGATTTTTTCGTCTTTTTTAATTTTTAAATTTTTAAATAACTTCAAGCATGATCTTATTTCTTTGAAGGAAAGTGATGATTTTGCATGTTCTTATTGTGACAGTGAGTCAAAACACTTTAATCGGAATATATATATATATATATATATATATATATATATATATATATATATATATATATATATATATATATATCAGTAAGCTTTGAAACTTACTGATATAAATATTATGATTAAACCTTATGTGGAGTACTTCTTTATTGCATAATGCACATTTCTTAATATTAAACCTAAAATGTATTTTAATATCCCTATTAGTAAGGATAGTATCTCTGTATAATATCAGTCTGCAATATATTTAAAGTTTACCTAAAGTATACTTGCAATAGTTCCACTTTAGCAGAATCAAATACACTTAATTATATTTAGTTGGACCTCAGCACTATTTCTGTATAACTAAAGTACATTTAGTACTAAATTAGTATGTTTAATTTAGCAGACTTTAAGTATATCAGTTTAGTATATCAAAAGTAAAGTTTAAGTACATAAATATGTAAATGTATTTGTAGTATACTTAGCATAAAATAAATTTATTTCAAATAGGCTACATTTTGGTACATTTATTTTTGACTACGATATAAATACACACAATCTTTTTTTTTTTTTCATCCAAACAAATGGTGGCTTGATTTCCCGCTCTCCTTTGAGTGGTGGGTTCAGGCTGAGGATTTCAAGGTCTTAGAGAGACCCTTAGAGGCGGACTGAGAAAGAGGAGGAAGAACATCTCACACAATGAATGCTATACTAACAACGTTTTAGATTATCTGTAGAGATACTGTAATATGTAGAGTACAGTATGAAGTATCTCTGTTGACCTTCCCAAAAATAAGTATAGGCCTACTTCAAGTTCATTTTATTAAGTATACTTAAGTAAAGTTCAAGTATATTTTAGGCATACTTTATAAGTATACTAATATGTACTAGACGTATACTTGGAAGTGTACTGTTTCAATACTTGGGACTAAATTGGCCCACCTTTTAGTGTTTAGGCAGAGATTGTGTTTTGTTTTGTTTTTTGTCAAAGCCCTTTATCAAAGACTCCATCCGGATCTGATTCAGAACGATAATCAAAGATGGAGTAGATCGAGTCCATCAACACCCCCAAAGCTTCACAGTTGTTTCCTCTTCAAGGATTCGACATTTCATTCAGTAATGTTTGGCAGTTTTGATTTATATGCTGTTTAATGTCTGATGATTGTGTTATTTTACATGTGCATAAGCAATGCTTCTATTGCTTGTATCTGCTTCTTCTTCACCTGTGTTTTGGTCCAGAGATTCTGTACTCTTTCTAAAATGGGTCATAGCGCCCCCTACCGTATAACAGTGAAAACATGGATTGCCGAAATTTTCCATTAATGGTGGGGAAGAGTTGTGTCATAAATAACAGCAAATTCTGTAAATGGTGGGAAAAGAGTTAAGTAGTTTTGTAGTAAATTCCTATGTATACTACCAGTGGACTTCACAAAATTTCACATTATTTTCAAACAAATCTATTGTATTGGGTCCCAAAATGCTCAAGTTTATATGACAGTATGTAAAACTATAAGAAAATATTAGCATAATGAAAGAGTAAACATAACTACAAGCCAAGTAGAATATACTTAGAATACTTAGGCTAATTATATTTTTAAGTATGCCTATATCTCGATCCAAAGTTTGAGTAAAAGTATAGGCCAAATAAACTTAGACTTTTCTGTCAGTAAAAGTCAAGTATACTTAAGTGTGAATTTATATTTCTGAGAAGTACATAAAAAGTGTACTTCTACTAATAGCACACTTGAATAAACTTGAATAAAATCAAAACTTATCCGTTGCTTGGTTACGTCTATGATGCAGTTTTCTGAAAATCGGACTTTTCAGGGTGTGCTAACCAAGATAGCCTAATCTTGTTTTTGGAAGGCTTTACACTGTAACATTCATTTAAGTAACGTGCACAACAATTATGCCTTGGTGCCAATACACTTTGTTTTCGAGTTGTTATAAAATGTTACACAGCTTGTTTTACAGAAACTTCAAGGATCTCAATCTTTCCCACACACAAAGCATTACCAAACACAAACTTTCCTGTCCGGTTCCTTTATTAACTTCCTGGAGACATGAGTATCATGCAATCTTTTGAAAGAAGATACATTATAAACTTCTCATTGTTCACCTCACATCATGAGGAATATCATGTCTGTGTTTGAGCATTTCTGGGCCTGGAGGTTGCAGTCAAACTGCCAAGTATTTTCACTAAATTATTAGTAAAGTAGTAGTAGTAGTAGTAGTAGTAGTAGTAGTAATAGTAATACTTTATTAATCCCCAAGGAGAAATTCTTTGCGACAGGCTGCATGCACGCATGCGCACAAGATACGCTCTCTAAGCTCTCTAAGAATGAAAAGACAAAGCAGCTTGAAGACAAAAACTGGCAACAGCATGTCAATAAACAGGAAGCAAAACAAAGTAGATTTATATGTGAAAACTTAATAGGTAGTTACCTGATTTGGTCATATATAAAACATATGGTTGTATTATATATTTTTAAAAAATATTTAAAAAAACGTGATTTCACGTGTACAATTACATCATCACATGACAATGTCCTACTCCGCTGACATCAGCATGGGACTTTCCAAAGCAAAACAATCACAGAGGTGAGAAAGTGTTTTTCTTTCTTTTAAGGACTGACTTAACTTCGAATCAATCGAGAAGTTGTTTGCTTTTATTTTTCATTTGTGTTACGAAACTTTCTTCAATCCATTGTGTTCTAGAAAGTAAACGCAATTTTTTACAGGTTTTTATATTGCTTGACAAAGTAAAAAAAAAAAAACTTCCAGAAATGACTGCTTCCATTTTCCCAGGCAGAGATTTAATGTTAATAATTCATAGTGTATGCCAACTCAGCTTTACTATATTGTCAAATATTAACTCTCTTTTTATCAACATGATTTAAAAGGTCAATACCTATGGTATTTTATGGCTTAAAAGAGGGCAAAAGACAGAATTACTTGTTTGTTTGTTTTTTATGATGTTTGTATCTTAGATGTGTTTTATGTTTCCATATGGCATGCCCTCATTTTAGTTTATCATCCTTAAAAATAACATAAAGATCAGATGCCTGAACAGTGTGTCACCAGTGAATCTACATTAAAAGGAAAGTTCACCCATAATTTGGCCATCTTTTTGAAGTCCACCGAGGCAAGAAAATCATGGTTTAGAATTAGGGTGAACTATAACTTTAATTTCACTGTCAACACTGTGGGAAAATATAATCTTTTATTGACAGATATCTTGAGGTTGGAAACTTAACCTGAGCTATTAATGTTTGGCACACATCTTTAACTGCCTGCAGCAACTTCCTCTATTAGAAGCAAGCTTTTAATCCAAAATATGCACGTTCTTTCAGATCAAACACACCCAGCACGACAAGAACAGCCTTTACTCTAATATATGGGTTAGGTTTCTGATTGTGACCTTACTGGACTCATTTGAATAACCTGAAAACACATCATCTTGATTTGGCAAAAACATTCCAGAAGAAACAATCTGAAGATACGGTCCACTAGAGAAAACTGATTAAATTCTTGACCTCATTACAACCAGGAAGAGCCATTGATGTCAATGAACTAGAGCAGATTTTTATAATTATTAACTCACACGATGGTTTAGCCTACTCATAAACACAACAGTAACCAGCAGGTTGTAAGGCTTCCAATATGCGAGTAATAGAAAATTGCTTTGAATGGTCATATTTTATGACAGAAGAATGTTTTGATATGCTTATGCATTAAAGGTTCTCACAAAAGTTAATATATGAGTGATTAATCTGTTCATTACAGTTTGTGCGTTCTGACTTCTTCATTCAAGACATTTTGTCCATCCTACTTGCACAGTCATATAGAAACGGAAAGCAAACCAGTGGAAAAAAATGTAAAATTTTGAGACAAGGAACAAAATGTCATTCTTTTGTTTCAGAAATGTAGACAGGATTACAACCTCAACGTTACGCAACAGCCGAGAGTAACTTCTAGATGGAATTTTTGACCAAAATCCCATGTCAGCAAAATTTGCTAAATTCATGCCAAGCTTTAGTTGTAATTCATTCTGTATGGTATTATTCTAAAAGTACTAAAACTTTAGTAACAGAAGAGAGATACAGAAAAGTGTATTTGTAAAAGGTTTATTGCCTCGGCAGGTTTGAAGCAGAATTCATTTAAAAGTAAATGAAATTTAGTAGAGTAAAAAAAAGCAAACATATCCCATAGGGAGTGCAATATTTCTTCCACATAAATGAAAATCAGCATAGGCTGAGAAAGACAACCCATTCAAGAGTAAATGAAAAGAAGCTTACATGGTGTGTGCTTAATAAATCATTGCAATACACATATGAACTATAAAAAACAGTGATTTGAAAAGCCTTTTTAAGCATGAGACCACCAATGACTCAAATAGGTGGAATATGCTATATATACTGCACGTCCCCCACCTCTTACATCTGTTCTTGAAAGAATGAATAAACAGTTCCTACAAGGAGAATCTTGTCATCTTACAAACTATAATGTTTACAGGAAGTATATTCACAGTGTATTCACAATTCAGTGGTATAACAGTGCTACAACTGAAGACTGCACATTGCAACGATTGTCTGGACGCAGAACGCACCACTCTGTAATGCCCACATACATGTGTTTAGGGCTAAGGCCTCATATTGTCTGTGCTGTTGTAGAGGACCTTGTATTACAACATAGAAGTTAGTCCATTATACTTTCAAGCAAGATCACACACTTTTGATCATAGGCTGCTGTGCTGGTAAATCAGTGTCCTAAAGCAAAAAAGAAAAAAAGAATTCACAGTCAGGTTTTTGGAAATGTTTCAGGTACCATGACTAAACATGTCAAACACATGACCTGAAGCGCCGCTCTGAAAATATGTGCCAGCAGTGAGCAACTGGTGTAGATTTACTTTTGCCATGAGCGCAATTCAAGGAATACGGCCCCTTTCTCAAGTCAAACCTCAAAAGCTGTCATTTAAGGTCACGTTCTTGGAAGATAAACGGAATGGAACAAAAATGTTTTCAACTTAATATGGTGTCTCAAAAACGTGACCCTCAGGTTTCGAGATGCTGAATAAACAGATGCATCGTAACACGTCAAAGACATTTGTATAGTAGAGCGTGTTTACAGGCATCTGCTTCTAAACGACCCATTCGTTTTTTTATATAATAAATGAAATCATTTAGAAAGTGTATATTTGCTATGATGTTTTATGTCATTTAATGACTAATCACAAAAAAAAATCAACAAAACATAATATATAGACAAAAACTGCTTACCGTGTTTGTCCGATGTCGTCTTTTGATCAGTAGGGTAAGAAGCACGGCAACAGCAAATATTAGCACGACCACAATGGGAACACTAATAGAGACAGTGTTGTCAGTTTTGTCTCCAGAGAAGGTTAGCTGTCCACCGTCTTCCTTTTCAGACACTGGTTGAAGACAATGGTAATATATGAGACATGATTGTCATCAATATCACACATTACAGATTACAAGCCCAACTTGTTATATATAAAATATCCATACAGGCAAAGGGTTCTAAGGCAGTGGTTCTCAACCAGGAGGCCGGGGTCTCAGCAAACGTCCGAATAAGGCTTAAATATTTTATTTAGTCTTAAATGATTATATTTAGTCTTAAAATTATATTAACATAACACTTGAACTGCTGTTCTAGCGGAATCTCAGCATTCGTAACACCAGCTCTGAGCCTATAGCCTTATTCTGATACCATTCAACAGATAAGCTATTTTATTACTGCTGGCTGCACAGCTGATGACGTCAGGACCATGTTTTTAATATTGTGATAGGCAACTCTGTGGGGGCTATGACTTTCGGTTCTGCTGCAGTGGCAACAAATTCAACTTCCTTTGGTTGTCGTGAATGTTCTGCTTTTTAGCTGCTTTTTCCGACCTGTGAGTCTCTCACACGTCATCATCTAACCAAACATAATAGACTAAAGCTAAGCAGACTAGCATTTTGAAAAGAGAAGCACAATGAAATTTTAAAAGAGGAAGAGGCTTGTTTCCTTTCAAGTTATTGCTACTGATTTGCTATAGGATAAATAAATTCAGTTTTAGATAACTCACCTGTTAGATTAACTTCTAATTCCTTCCTCGACCAGATGCGGTCAGAAACACTGAATAAGGCATGACAGGTGTAAACTCCTGCATCCGCTGAAGTGATGTTGAGGATCATAAGGGAGCAGTTTGTTTTCTCCTTTTCCAGGAAGAGTTCAGTCCTGTCAATGTGAGCCTGGTCTATAGATTTCCTTTCTTGTGGATAACCATTCACTACTGTTTCACCTTTCTGCCATACCAGTTTAGACACATTAGTACAGCCACAAGGTAGAATTACGGTCTGTCCAACGATGCCAGTCGCACTAGTTTCCACTGCAGAACCATCTACAAGAACAGTAACAGATTCTCATCATAACAAATACTCAACTTCATTTTCAAAATTTGGAACACCGAATAAACACCAAAAAAAAGAAGATATGATTCTCTAAAGGAACATCAGAAACTGTTTTACATTTCTTTGATACATATCATTTTACATTTTAACTTTTTTTAATGCCAATAATATATGCATATCTGTATGTGACAAGAGATCATCAATAAAATATGTTTTTTCATAGATTAGAGCTACGTTTAAGGGTCCAGAAGGATTCAATAAAGACTCACTCGTGATCAGCAGAAGTGTCAGCAATGCCAAGATCATCATGGTTGTCCTGGAGGAGAGAGAAGCAGGTTTTGAAGTAGGCTATTTATTTGAGGTTATCAAAGGGTAGGTTATCTATTTAAATTCACAAGTTCTCAAACAAACTACAAACAAGGCTAAAATGTGCATAGTTGTATGCGAGTACTAATACAGGATTATAAACATCTGCACTTTGTCCTGGTGAGACACGGTATTTTTCCATTAAAGAAGAAAACGATCTCCTAGCAGCTCAATTCATTGGTGAAATTTATCAGGCAGCCAATTTCCCACAGGTCACATGAGAAAAAAGAGCCAAACAGCTTTTCCCAAAAATCCAGTCAACTCTGGAATGTCCTGTGTGAAAACAAAGCTCCCCCAAACAATGCAGTCGTGAAACGCACTTAAGGGTCGATCATCTGAGTCTCTAACGCGTAAGTTGTGGACCACTAAAACTTTCAACTGCATGAAATTATTCAAAAACTGTTTTATATTACATAGGCTATATTAAACATATTAAATTTAACCTTTTATTATAGCCTAACATATTATGTATCAAACGTATAAAAAATAAGATCAGTAAAGAAAAAAAAAAAAGAATAAACAATATCGTGCTGACCTTTGGGTTAGCCTATATTTCCTCTGCAGAAGACACGCACGCATCCGATCGCGATGAGTGAGAAATACATGAATCAGTTCTGGAGTTTGTTTCAGTTAAGACGCGCCTCCTACGTCATCCCACACACAGATTGCAACGCTGCTGGGTGTGGCCTAAAAGGACTTTGGTGTGGCTGAGTTTATACAGAAGCAGTTACCTGAACGAGTTGACCTGGATTTTGTGGGTAGGTGATCAGGCTCATTTTCACCTGGATCTGCACGTGCAACTTGACTTGTTTGTGGGCGGCGATTTTAGGTGGGAAAACCCCAGACCGGACAAGATAAACAAGATGTCCAATGCATTGTTCTCTAAATTCCATAAGATGGCGCTAGAGGGCTTTAAATTCCCTTTCTGTGCCTTATTCATTTTCTCTTGGCTTTCCTACTGTTATTGCCCAGGAAATAAATTTCATTGACCCTATTAATTATAGGGGGGTAATTAATTTGGGTAATACTTTGGGTATTGTTTATGGTCCAAAAGTGAATGAAGTTCAAATTTAATACTGAGGAGGCAACACATTTTCTGTGAACAGAAGATTGCTTTTAATAAAATTCTAGGCCTATAAAATAACACATGCTATTTATTTTTGTAATATTGATTCATAATAATCACTTCAGCAAAAGGTGTATCATTTCATTAAAACATTTCAAGTAGCCGCCCTATTCTATAACAACTCATTCTTTCTGCTTTAGCATCTGAACATGTGTTGTTTTAATGCTAGCTACCGGGGTATTTAAAAAATGAATCAAAATTGGCCTACTTAAAATGAAAGCTCTGAAATCTTCACATGTGTGCCATTGCTAAACGTAATGTGCCAGTTTGAATATGTAGAACAGAGAGAAGAATGCATTAAGTGAATACATACAATATAACATATAAAACAACAAATCTTCATACATGAAGACATTGTGTAGATAGGCTATACATTTTTACATATGCTATTTTTGAATTTACAATGGTCATCTACACTCTGGAACAGGTTATAAATTTTTTTTTTCGTCATAAATTTAATTTAAAAACAATGATATAATATAATTGTTTTAAAAGTAAATATAAGAAATTATATCTACTGTGAAATAACAGTTCATAATTTTCAACAGTCATAATTGTTGTTGCTTTGGCTCCATGGTCATTTTTACACACTTTTAAGAGTTCTTCCAAGCTTTTTCTTTGACCTCCTTTTGGGATGGGTTAGGCTACAAAAACTGAATAAAGTTTTTGTTTGGTAGCCTATTTTATTTGGTACAACGTGTCGGTTTAGGTAGTAACCTAAATAGATCACTTCGTTCAAACCTAAACCGGAACGTTACACCAAAATGATGCAAGAGATTCAACTCTCAAACATGCTTTGCGATTGTGTCTGCTTTGCTGTTTGTTCATCATCCCTGTGTTTTGATGTATCGGTCAAATTCTGCGGTTTCCTCAGTCACTGACCACCACCTTCAATCTATATCTGCCTCCCTTCTCTTCCACACTCTCCTCTCTCCAGACGTGTGGTCAGCTGACTTTCACTGGAGCAGCTGTGTGCAGTCGCGCATTCTCACAAAGCACAGCCCAGCATAGACGATAGGGGAACACGGGGCTGAAAATCGCGACAGAAAAACCCTGAACCGCTCAGGACATTTATCCATCAGGACGTGCTGCGCTTGGGAACACGGCCATGGATATGGACCGTACGGTATTCCTGCTGTCAATACTGACGACTTTGTCGCTCGCCATCGAGGTAAGAATATGATTGTGTGTAATGGAGACGGAGCTTGATTCTCCTCCATAGTTTAAATGACGGCCTGGGAGCAAAGGGGAGGAAAAACGCAAAGCTAGAGCATGACGGATGCAGATAGACATTTGAGCGCTACGTGATTGTCAGTTGCGTATTCCAGCATGATCATACTTCTTTCTCATGCAGTTGCCAGTTGGGTTTCTTGTCCATCGGTGTTTTAGATCAATTAAAAAGTGTTGGGTGGATCCACTCCTGGTGCAGGCAGGATCGTCACTAGGCACAGCGGGCGAACTGTAGCGCATGAAAGTGATACATAAAGACGCGCATCATTCTAGCATCTTAGCATTGTTTTTAATATCTGAGGGTCATTTGCACACCTTCATATAAAATATTAGCATCACATTCGAAGGTGAAACGTGGCATTGAAACATAATGAAGAATTGCACTGTGGAAAACGCTGATATGGCGATTGTATGCTGCTGTGCCCGTAATGTGTTTTATGTTAGAGCAAATAAATGTGGATCGGAGGAATATGAACTCATGTCATGCAGATGGGGCTGGTGGAATCATGTAAACATCAGTGACTGACAGCTCTTTGTCAAGGGGACATGTGTTAAAGAGCGCATTCTCTCACCACCTGCAGTTAGCCTATAGAGCTTTTATTTACACGAAAAAAAAAGAAAAGACATAAAACCTGTGGCTGGTTTGCAAGATTGCAGAGCTCCATTTTGGGGGAATATGCTGTGACAGCAATCCGACGGCCCTGCTGAGCCATTCGATTATCAGAGGACAACGCGCTCATTCCTCTGCGGCGCCTTTTGCGCATCTATTATTCATACAAGTCTTTATGAAGGAATTTGCTTTGTTATAGGCCTAGGCTTGATTGTTAAAATGCGTAGATGATGTAGCACTTGTTCATGGTGGAGAGATTTTGTGAGGAATATTAGGCCTACAAAAAGATGTTAGTTGACAGAAGCAAGATGGCGTCCGTGAACTGCGGCGTTTCTTTTTTTTCTTTTTTTTTTTCTTTTTTCTTTTTTTTTATCTCGTTAAGGCAAAATCTGCTATATGGATAGATAAACTTTCTCACTCCCACAAACACACACGCATCTGCACTACGTGTTCTTTGCATGCAAGATTATTTTAATACTTGAATGTGGAGCTTATGACACCTGGTTGTCAGTTTACACAGAGATATTTTATTCCACATAGTTTTCTGTAATTCTGGTCTACATGTAGATGTGGTGTTGTTAGTGTTCTTTTAAAATATGGTAGCCTATAATGGTACCAATATCAGGGTGCAAATAGCATGGAGCCTTTGGCGGGGTGACTCCCAGATTACAAATATTTCAACATTATTTAAAAATTAATCATAACATTTTAGTTACAAATCAGCAATGTATTTTCGCAGGGTACCAAATAGAAGCTCCCCAAAAAAATGTTACCTATTGTTAGAATATGGTTCTCATTTGGTTATTTTGTTTCCTAACATTCTAGGAACGCTTCTTTTAGGTAACGCTTTGTTTTAATAACCATAAACTAATGTTTCCAGAACATTCTGGGAACCAAAAATTGTTAACTGGGACAATACTAAAGCTCTTTCTGTTCAGTATTAGATCAGCAAAAAACAGGTTCTGTCATTGTCTTCCACATTATTATTGATTCACAATCACAATATTTCACAACAACTGTTTAAAACCATGTTTGTGGGTCTTATTTCATGTGTGTTGGCTCAGAGGTCATCTGCTGCTGCTGTATTCCTAAACATTGACTAAATTAATTTCAGTTACTAATTTTATTGGGTTTTCAAAACTAAATGAATAAGTGTGGATGTGTGTGTTGTATGTGTGTCAAATGACAGTTTGAGTTGTGAACTAAAAAGTTACAAATTCCTTTTAAAAATGGACCCTTGTACCAGTCAGAGTGCAAATTATATAATGACTTACATGAAATAAGACCCTGGCCTAAAGCTTTTTCCATTAAAAGGTGTCATTTGTTGGTAGTGTGCCAAAACAAGCTCTGAGAGTTTGTGTTGTCACCTCTTTACTGATCACCATGTTTTGCCTGAAAGGTCCCTTGCTTATTTTGCGTATAATTGGTAAATCTGTTTTCGGTTAGTCTCCATCTGAAAAGGGCTTCCTTTGTTTGACTGGGAAATATCAGTGGAACATGTAAACATGGTCGGTTTTACAAAAACTACCTTGTTGATGTTTGACAGCCTTTAAGATTAAGCCAGAGCTGAATGGCTGTTGAAAGCTGCACATTTTCATTTTGCACTAATGTGGATCCTGAACTGCTATGACAACCTGGCTGAGACACTATTTTGGTACACTGATATCCGCAGATGATTAGCTTTCACTAGTGGCTCAGTGGCTGTGTCAATGTTAAAGCATTTCTTATATCATATGGTAATGATCTCGTGTAAAACAATTTATAGCTGAAATTTTGCAGCTTATTGCAGTAGTTAAGACCATTTCGTGTCTAACACATGGTTTTCCTAAAGAGTTACTGAAGTGTGGCCAGCATAATTACAGTATTCTGTTTTTAAATTGCCTACAGCATAGATATGTTTTATTGCACTATAACCACCAAGCCATTTGTTAAAAGGTTTGAAAGAAAAAATACATTACGGACAGAGTCTATCTATCATCCTATCTATCTATATATCTATCTATCTGTTTGGGGTGTAACGACGATACCCTCATGTCACAAATCGATACATATCACAATACGATATTATTGCGATACTCTAAGACATAAGAAAATGTACTGTTGATTAAAATGCTAAATTTGATATTAAATTGTGGGTGTAAATGAATAGGCTTGGACTTGGTGCTGGTAATTCAATGCACAGGACAATGGTGACACCAGAATAAAAAATATTCATCATTCTGAGGCTGAAAATACAGAATTATTTTAGACGAATATTTGCACTTTGTCACTGACTAGATACATTTCAAATAATGTAGGCCACTTTTTACTGGTAACATAAGACAGTTGGCATTATTAGGACCCACAAATATTCCCCCATTGCATTGAATTATTATACATTATATTAAATATTATATAGTTTAATAATAGACATTAAAACCGTGACTTGTGACACAATATATTATTACACCCACTATCTATCTATCTATCTATCTATCTATCTATCTATCTATCTATCTATCTATCTATCTATCTATCTATCTATCTATCTATCTATCTCTTATTAAGCCGTTTTCTTAATGAGACAGATGCATCTTTCAGACAGCTGGCTACAGCAGCACTTCCACTGTTTGTTA